AAAGAGTAAAATAGGATATAAATTCAAGAAGCAGTATAACTTGAAAAATTAGATGGAGAGGGGGTAATATCACATCTCACTTAAATTAAGAAGCATATTAAACTTTAAAATGTTACGCAGAATCCAAAGAAAAAGGGGGAAAAGACAAAAAGAGAGAGAGAAAGATGTAAATTAAAAAAAAAAAAAAAAAAAAAGCAAAAAAGAGAGAGAGACGCAAATTAAAAAAAAAGAAAGAAAAGATAGGCCGGGGAAGAAAGACATTAATTCTGCTAAAAACACTATGCTAAAATAATCAAACTAAACATTTGCTTTTACTTACTACTTTTTAAAGTGAAACATCACATAAAACTTGTAGAGACATTAGGAATTTTTTTGAAGCAAGCAAGATGAAAAATGAGCAATCGCCCTCGCCGGGAATCGAGCCACGGATCTCTGGAATACCGGCCCAGCGTGCAGAACCACTACACCACGAAGGCACGCTGGGGCGGCGAGAGAAATACCTTATAAACTAATTACGATACTAAATAAATTAAAAACCAAGTCAATAAAATGTAAAATCAAGTTAAAAATGAATGGAAAAAAAGGGGGGAGTCTTATTTAAAAAAAAACGAAAAAAAAAAATGTCTCATAAAATAGGAAGTTAAAGAAATCAAAATAACTGTGTCAAAAAACTGATCATTCAGAAATTGGAACTAATTACGGAGTTTGGAGGTGGACGCAGCGACAATCCTCATAAGTTAAAACCGGAGGAATACTTTCGATATAAGGAGGCTTACCAACCTGTGAAGCTAAATTAAAAAAAAAAAAAAAAAAAAAAAAAAAGAGGAGGGTTTGGTTTCGTTTATTTGATTAGACAAGGATGTCTTCGTGGAGGACTTTCTAAGGGAAATTGGCTCGTATATACGCTACACACGGGGAAAGCCACAAAAACGCCCATTCAACTAGCCCATTCGCTGGTATTCAAATCCTGAACCGAACTACCGATGTTAAGCGATTTTACCGCTCGGTCGTTGGTGGGCCTCCTGAGTAATGGAGCCCGGATAATTTATTCTTTTTTCTAATTTGTAGAAATTCAAACAAATGTTAATTTTCATCTCTACTGATCAACGTTAGATTGGAGTGAACTCTTGCATCTGCAATAATGAGCACTCTTCCATCTGCATAAAATGAGCAATTAAATGTACAACTTAACTTTAAATGAAGGATTGGATTTCATGGATTGAATTTATTGGATAAATCACGCTAGTGCTATCTGGCAGAGAGAGAGAGATGACTTTGTGGTTTAATTTTTAAGCGAAACTGTCTTCTGCTCACTTTCTCACGCTGCCAACCAGTTCACCGGGATTTAAACCCCGGTGGAATTACCAGTGTTCAGCGATATTATCTACTTGGCTGTTGGTGGGCCAAGTGTGGAACTGAAATTAGGAAGTAGTCTTTCGTTATGAATAGTCGTACCAAAAGTCTAATTTAAAATCCGAACTTCACACATTTTTACCTCTGTTTTCCCCGCGCCTTGCGAGAAATGCAGTAAGACTATGTCTGTTCCACTGCTTTGCTAATATTTACACTGAAAAGTAACTTTATTTAGACTTTCAAAACACTTTCAAGTTATTTGGACTTTCCAACGCGCTAAGTTATAAATATAAATAGATCATCTCTGAAGAAAAACGTAGACCCCCTCTCCAAAAAAATGGACCCATCAGAATATAGGAAAAACTATTTATCTGCCAGTTTCTTGAAGCAACCGAATTATCGGATTTATCGATTCCGATTACTTCGTTAATCACAGTCCTCGAAAGTTTTCAAATGATTTTTTTTTCCCCATTTTTAACTGCTGCTGTTTCATATTTCAATCCTTTCTTGAGTATAAACATGCTTAAGATATCATAAATTGTACTATTCATTCCAAGTAACAAAGATAAACAATCCTGTAGTATAAAACGGAAAAAGCAATATTGGACCTCAGATATCCTTCCACACAGCAGGACATCACCACAAGATGTTCACTAGCATAAAAATAAGATAATTTTCAGCAACTCCTAAAAAAGGAATTTAAAAATTTAAGTAATGCTCGTTTCCATTTAAACAAAAAACTATCTTCTTATACACAAAGCGCTTCATTTCTAATGTTCAAAACAATAATGTAAAACTAATGTTTTCTTCTAGACAAAATTTATTGTCCTCACGGTTTGCTTTAAAAAAGTCTAAATTTTCCCCCTAAAAATTGAGAATTATTTTCCTTAAAAAATCAGAAAAAATTATGCTTTGTAGATAGTGATTTCTGTTTTCGAATAGATATTGATTTCGAATAAATACTGATTTCGCTTTTCGAATGAAATATTTTTCCGTGCTAACAGCCATCTAAACCGCGGTACAAACAGAGAAAGAATCCCGTGTACCTCCCTGTGATCTCCGCTCATCATGTAGGATTTGCACGGGTCCATAGCAGTCTCAAAAAGTTTGAAATCCAGTATTTCTCTTGTAATTCCCCTCTTCCAAATCCTATACCGCAGTGTAATTAATTTTTACCAATTCCTTTTGCAGCTCTGCATTTAAATTATTAATTATAATCGGAAATAACACAGTGCTAAGGAATACACAAATTTTATTTAATCAACGAGAAAATGTGAATAGAATACCAATCAAGTACGCATATGATCTTTTCTAGGCTACTTGGATTCAGTTTGAAATTGAACGTAATATTTAAAAATGTTCCTTCTATTATACTGCATTTTAATACTAGTCAGTACTTAGGAATAATGTAGTTCAGATTTTACAAATTAATAATACAAAATCCTCTTTGTTATGACTTTTTAAAGCCGTTTATGTGCTTCATGGTTTTGGGTAATGGAATTGGTACTAATCAAAGTCGTTTTTTACAAATAAAAATGTGAAAAAGTACCAGATTTGTTCTGCATTTAATAAAAATTCACTGAAATGTCACTGAAAACTTTTCTCCTTTTTATTGTTTTCTTCCTTTTACATCATCAAAGAAAAGAGATATTTAGAAAAGTTCTGTTATGTCTCGTATAAAGTAAAATATGCAAAAATTGGATGATTTTTTTAGACAACTTCAAGAATATGCTGGAAATACAGCAAATTTGTATTACAAAATGGTAACGGATTGCTTTAATGAATCAGTGGTTTAATTAATAGCATTTGAATTTTTATATCGGTACTAAATGTCAACTTTCTGTTTTTAGTTTTATTATATAAAATACTTAAAAGTGGATTATTTATACTCGTATATCGTATCGTTTTAATATTGCATGTTTAACTATTCAAATAAATATATTAAATGTTTTGCATTCAATATTTCAATATGTATAATTCAATATTTTGTCCTGAAAGTCTATTGTTCGTTGAAAGGAGAAAAATATTTAAATACTATTAATTTCTTCTCGAATTCGCTGATCGTATTGTTCTTTATTCTGATGGCAAAGGGTTAATCCTCCATCTGTCAGGCAAGCAGTCTTGTTGCCAGTGGCTTGCAATGAATTTAGACAATTATTAAAGTCATCGCTTAGATTATATAAGCTTTAATAATACAGTTAAAAAAACTCTTATACTCATTATTTATAGCTTTTTATTAAAGCAATATTTTTAAGTACAAATCTTGAATCCTTAGTAAAAATTATAAGCACAACTCAACACTATTAATTATGCAACAATTACTTCTCGATATATATTTGCATTATTTTCTAATCATTGGGAAAATCTGGGTGAAAAAAATAGATGTACCAAAACAGGTGAGTACTAACCCTGAAAGATTACGTCAGACACCAAATACACATGTTATATCAAACATGTAATAAAATTATAATATAATAAATGTAATAAAAGTTTTCTCAAGTCTCTTACATGGTAGTTTTCAGATTTTCTTTGGATCACTTATGTTTCTTTTAATATGTTCCCTTCAATAGACGTAACTCGGTTTTTGTTACCGATTTCCAGGAAATAAAAAAAGGTTGGTCTTTATATTTTTTTAACTAAATTTATATTTAATTTACCTTCCGAAGTTTTACTTCTTTGAAACATGTAATAAAAATATACCGAATTTTGCAATAAGTAAACATTTAATGCATTTAAATTAGGCATACTTTATCAATATGCAATTCTACGTAAATGCAAGATTTTACTTTGGATTAAAGCTAAAACTAAATTCTTATGCAATCTGTACAGAATAAAGATCAAATCATTCAACGCATAACTTCGTGAAACTATGTATTTTATAACATTTGTAATACATTCGTAAGATAATAGAATGTAGTAAAATTCTTATAGGAATTTAATCAGTACTATAACAGATAAAGGGATGATTAACGTAGTAAATGTAGTCAAATACCACGAAGCCAGGCAATCTAAACAAAAACAAAATTATTTTCCATACGTAAAAAACACAATAAAAATAAGCAGGGGATTAAAATTTTTGAGAGGATAAATTGTAATTCTACAAGGGTGAATGAATTACTAATTAAATGTATAGATCTAATTTTACTATAAATTGTTTATTCTTTCACTTAAGAAAAGGTTTCTATACATGCTGGCCAACGCACGAAAATAAAATGTACAATTGAAAAAGCAAATCTAATATTTAGGAATTTGATGTAACAGAAAATATTTCGCTAACTCTAGAAGCTTTTTTTAATATTTAATCGCATTCCAAACGTAAACTTCTCTATTTCTGCTCCCCCTCCCCTTTTCACTTTAACGGACACAGGTCGTGACAAAACTATACATTGTTTCTGAATTTCTGAATTATTCGTTGTTTCTGAATTAATTTTATTTATTTGGTACGTGCATATCACAAGCCAACATTCACTTTATCATGAACATGCAAATATTCATCAAAATCTCTACTCCTTATATATGACACGTATTCATCCGATGATATTAAATGATTCTAGTATACTTAGGATGCGTTGAGTGTCGAGTATTGTTTGAGCGTGCAAGCACTCAAAAAGGAAGCACCGAGCTAATGAATTTAAAACGGAACTTACCTGTGACTTCATGGCATATTTCTACTAATATTGGTTGATCGGGCTAAAGTTTCGCTTTTTCCTAGAGCAAACGACTCAAAACCGAAATTCATGATGGAGCATCTTCCCGCGTTTCTCACTCCTCCGAATGGCTATTTTGGCTCATGAATATGTAATGAAAATGGGGAGGAGCGTCGAACTTTAGAGCCGCCTTGGCGTGGCCTCGTGACTTCTTCCCACCGCGATTGGCTGCGTAACTCGCGAATGAAGTGGCGGACAGTGTTCACTGGAGTTCGGAACGCGCTTCGGGCGGTGTAGTTCCTGACTGAGGTCCGACTGGTGTCGCGCTATTTTCGTGTGATCCTGTGATTAAGAGTAAACTTTATATTCTCAAGAGGTGGTCGCTAGGCCAATGCGTTATCATCTGGCTTCGGAGCCAGGCCCACAAAGCCAGGCATTCTCGCTGACCAACGGCGACTTTATTATGGACGCTCTGCATCACGGGGGCACGCTGGTCCCGCGTCCTGGTTTTTGTCCCACTCAAGACCTCGTCTGTTCTCCTCTTAAGACTATGCCTCCGCATGATTCTAAAATGGACGCGTTGGTGTCTGTGGATTCGGACAGTAACCTGGAAGATAGCGATTTCGATGGTGGAGGTGTTGCCGAAGCGGACACAACGGACACTTCCGCTGACCATTCTTCTGACCGCCAGGACTCGAATGCTGAAGAAGGGGGATCAGGAAAGAGTAAAGGACATTTAGTGAAGCCTCCGTACTCTTACATCGCCCTTATTACTATGGCTATTCTTCAGTCTCCAGAAAAGAAACTCACGCTTAGTGGTATTTGTGAATTTATCAAGAATCGCTTTCGCTTTTACAGAGAGAAGTACCCATTATGGCAAAATTCTATTCGACATAATTTGAGCCTCAATGACTGTTTTGTTAAGATTCCAAGAGAACCAGGTAATCCAGGTAAAGGGAATTACTGGAGCTTGGACCCAGCTTCTGAAGATATGTTTGATAACGGCAGCTTCCTTCGACGACGTAAACGTTACAAAAGGCAACAGGCTTATGCCCACAAAGATCCTTCTGCATTTATGGCTGCCACGCTTGACCCTTACCGCCACGGACTATTCGCAGGGCATCCGCACTTAGTTTACCCTTACATGCCACACCTACCTCCACCTATCCCCCTGCTCTCCCCCCAGGACCTGGCGAGGGTATCTTTACACCCTATCAATTTAACCTCTATGCAGAATCCAATGGCGACTCCAATCTGTACCGGCCCGCCAGGAATTTTCGATGCTCCGAGTGATGTTTCCTCCTTCTCTTCCCAGTGCACGAAGGCGATGGCATCTAAACCAAGCTTCTCAATCGAAAGGATTATTGGAGACTCTAAATCACCCGATATGAAGCCAGAGATGTTGGCCTTGCGGCCGCATATATCTCTTCTGTCACGAGCGCCTGTGAATACAGCCTTCACTTATCCCGGAACAGAATTAAACGCTCTTGAAAAGTACCAACAGTATTTGCAGACTCTTACCTCTAATCCGGTGCATGGCAACGGGACGCGGTCTAGATGACCCGTCCTCTTTCTCCACTGTAGTGATACCACATGTAGAGAAAACGCATAAATGGGATATCTTTCTTTCGTGAGCAATGGACGTCGCTTCGTTATGTCTTCTAACGTATTTACGATTGATTTTATTATTATTTTTTACATCTGTTGCATGTATGATAGCTTCTTTTCCTGATAATTTTTCTTTATTATGCTTAGCTGCGAGAAACTGTTATTTAGCAGTTCTAAGGTTTGAAGCAAAATTTCTAGATAATTTATCAAACGTATAATTAAAATGTACTAGCTGTAAAGCTACAATAAAATTTTGTATGGCATTGTTAGTAACTAGAAGTATTTATAAACCTGTAATATTAACATTTTACTGGAGTTCATTTTACTGCTTCTCGTGATTTTATAACGAGATATTATCTAAATTTGAAGATGCTACCTGAATTCTAATTTGCAAGTTATAGTAAATATTTCTCTTGAAGCGGCGTCCAAATGCAAGTACATTTATAGATCTCAATGACAACTTAAGAATACATTTAAGTTGATATAAATTCAATTGCTAATTATGAAGACATTATAAGTATTTTCATATATCTTGTATTCTTCGCATCTATAACTTCCCTGTATCCAGTTTATGTGAATCGGTAAGTTGAAAACTGAATTTCATAACGAATTATATAAAGACAAAATATCGATTCAAGCATGTGATTGGAGGAAGAACTTTCAAGATAAATGAAGCATTTGTTGAACGTCCAATAATGGTTCTGTTATCAATTATATTATCAGTAGTCAACCTGCAACTTTCAGGTGAATTTATTTTTTATTTTTCCATATTTAGATGTTATGCTGTAATTCTGTTTATACGTTTATTTTATATTTCTTGCAATGCACTTGATTAACTTTTTTACCCATGTCAACATGACTGATTTTTAAGGTTATAATGTGGTGTCAACAGTAATTTTTAAGGTAATGCCAATTTCCCATGGAAAATAATTGCACCGAATGTGGAAAATAGTTTGTGACCATATTTATTGACAAATTCTCTAAAGAATTTTTTCTCTTGCCTCGTATTTTATTTGTAAAATTTTTAAAATTTATTTCTCCTACACTATTTTTCCAGCCGTTAAGATTTTATAAATTAATTTCTTTAACATTTTCTGGTGAGTAACAATACTTCACTTGTTCTTAAACCGAAAACAAAATATGTATTTTACTTACGTAATATAATGCATTTAAAGTTACTCTTGCAGCTGCTGTTAAAATACACCGGGTAAATTAATGTAGCATATTTCAGATTACATATTAAAAATCCTAATTAATTAGAATGTTTAGGTTCAATCTTAATACCGGCTGAAATAGTTATTTATGTTAAGCATCAATCCATTTTATTAGTTTATGTACTGTTAAAAACGTTGATAAAACTGAAGGATAATTGGTCATAAAATTAAGATTGTTAATTTTTGCAAGTGTTTACACTAAAGTCTACGAAACGTAAGTGAACTCTAATGCTATAAATTAAGTATCCAATCTAGCAGTTCTTCTCTATGAACGATTCATTGCAAAGTTTGCTATCTAAAATACCATCATATACAACTCTATAATGTTGCACGCTAATTAACTTTTTATATAATTATTATTCTAACGGAATGTACAGCTCTTCTTTTGTTTAAAATTAATTTAGAAATTATATTTCCATGTAATCAATTGGCAGTGCCAAACGAATTATTAATAAGACACAGATAATTGATGCCACTGCAGCCGCGGCTTGCCGTTATAGCGCTGGCTTTCTGTGTTCTCACAGCTGCCAGATGTCCGATCAGAACGGTACCCAGCGCGCATATATGGTTTAGCAGAGACGCTTGCCTTTCGTAAGAGCAAGTTGACTGTACAACAGTCAAATTCATGGAAATGGTGTGTACTGAAATTTATCACTTAAAATATAATTTTTTATAAGCATTGTATTTTTAGTGGTTGTATTTTTAAATGTATTATGTTTGTAGAATGTATTGAAGTTTACAGTTTTATAAAATAACAAAGGAACACCAAGTTATTTAGGAATAAGATATAAAACAAGTTAAAAAATTTTTTTTTCCCCAATTTAATGCTATCTTGTGCAGCTTATTATGCAAAATCAACGAAGTTAAATATTTTAAGGTCAGCATTTCGTAAAATAATTGTCAGATATATGGGCTTAGTTTTTATCCTGAATATATATAACAACATGGATATGAAATTTATATGCTAATTTACTTAGAAATAATAGAGAATTTAAACATTCAAGACATTAAAAATTACACTTTTTTATTGCTTTCAAAATTATGTCCCACATGTTTGCTTAGTTACGTATGATAGATAATCCAAATTTAAGAAGCTTCCTCTTCGCAGTTCTTTGTAACTGGCTGTAATATATTAGGTAACCAAAACATTTTGACAGTCATATTCCTGTAGTTAAAATTTAGTTTTCCTGTTACACTCTTATGGAAGTTAAATGTTTTATGAAACTTCAGGAAACAGTGACTCTTTCTGTCAAGTGTTTTTCAATCATTTTATGAATAAATTTGTTTAAGAAGGAAATCCGAATTAAAATTTTTAAAATTATTTAATAATTTAATTTTTTATGCAAAATTTTTTTTGCAACATTAATTTGTAAATATTTTCTTGTTACTGTATGTGTGGCTTCTCCTGTACAAAGATTTTTGCTTGATTTCGATGCGATAACGATGTTAAATTTGCCATGTTGAAACAATACCATTGGACCAATTCAATTCTTCGCCTTTATCTAAATTAGGAATTTATGAGGGGCCGTTTGCTAAAGAACACTTTGTAGGTCTTCATCCATTGCTGCGCAACATCATTTGAAATAAATATACGACATAAAAGAAGCAAAGTGTGTGTTTTTTAATATTTAGTTTTCAGCACTCAAATTAATATTTAGTTTTAATTTAATATTTAGTTTCTAGAGCATTTGTACTCAAAATAAGTATATTTATATGTCAAATTATTCGCTACTTAAGCCAATTGGTACAGGAAACGATGTTTGAGAAAAGCAACGCGATTGAATGTGTATGAACTATAAAGTCGACATGAATATCCGTTTTGCTTATTAATTTTAGAATTAACATTCATAAACTTCTGCAGATTTCGAAATAATTTTTCAAAAACTATTCCTGATTTTAAATTAATTTAATTTGTTGACAGCTTGTAAACCTTCTTTGTAACATGTAAATCGATGCTGTTTACATGCATATCTTTTGAATTACTTTATTATGAGCAATTTCAGCTGCAGTAATTCGTCAAAACGTGCATAAATGCTCAACTCCTTGTTCGCAAGGCCCACGGCCGCTGGTGGTCGCTGGAACTACTAGTCGCTGAACACTAGTAGTTCGGTCCGAGGGTCGAATCCCGCGAACGGGCTGGTTGCATGGGGCGTTTTCGTGGTTTTCCCCATGCGTAACGTGTATACGAGCCAATTTCCCTTAGAAAGTCCTCCGCGAAGGCATCCCTCCCCTTAGGAAGATAAGACCTCGAAACTTTGCCATAATCACACACACACCTTATTCGCAATTTTAAACTTAATATGGGATTTTTTGGAAGTCATTAGTGGCAAACTCTAAAATTCATAGACACACACACGCATATATACTCTTATTTCAAAATATATATATTATATATATGTATATTTGAAATATGAGTAGTTTTGTTAGATATAAAGGCTGTTTTGTTAGATATAAACTATTTGCCGTATAACTTATTTGTGCAGTTGGTAACTAAGCATTTTAAATTAGAAGTTGACCTTAGAAGGTAACTGTAAATCGCTTTAAAAAATTTAACATTTCAGATACTACCACTTTCGTAGCAGGCAGATTGTATGAAAAAGAACTTTTAAGTTAAACGGGTTTCTTTCATAAATGTTCTTTTCTTCGCAAATCAAGTTACGATTTTAAAGTAATAAACCTTTACTTAAAATTTTATATCTAAAATATTAAATTAATTTCAATATTATGTTAATTCTGTACGTTAATTGCTGCATGTAATTTCTGCAGTATTGTATTTATTAAAAAAAGAATTTGCATACTAAATTATTATATATCGAAAGCCCATTATATTCTGAAAGCTTTATTTTACGGTATGTTGACTTATGTATGATTTAAAAAAAAAAAATTCAAATTCTTGTAGTCTATGTAAATGATTTTTTTTTAAATATGAGATATCACATATAAAAGGTCTGGCGTTTACGTTTAATGTTTTAGCTCTAAACTGATGAAGTTTGATTTCTTAAACTAAATTGAGCTCTGGAAGTGATATTTTATATATTTTTAGGATTGGGTTGCAAAATGATTAAGAAAACTTCTGTTAATTCCTGAAAGGCTGACTACAACATTTAGCTCTTTAGCCCTGAGCTTATTTGTAATACAAGCAATATGTTTTGTAGCTAAAGTTTATAGTGTCATCGATGGAATAATTTGGAACACAGTTTTATGATAGAGTGAAATTTTGTGATTTTTGCTATGAAATATCCTGGTATTCTTGAATACTCAAAATCTTGCAGACGTTTCCCAATAGTAGATAAGGTTTGTCGATTGTGCTTTATATATTGATGTAAGAAAACTGTACATGTTTTTTTTTATGATTATAGTTAAATTTGTATCATTTCTCAGTCTTAGTCCTTCTACATATATCTTGTACATGTTAGATGATATCACTTTAATAAATGTCTCTTTAAAATTTTAGCCTTTCTTAATTGCTGTCTATTGTCTAATCATTTAAACTTTGGTTTCTAATTTATTGGCAACTACTGGCTGTCTTATATGCTTACTTTAATTAAAAAACAAGACCTGTTATCCATGCAAAGCATTAAGTTTTAGAATTTAATTTTCTATTAAAATCTTCTCGAATTTAACCTGCTACTTAATAAATCAAAAGTATGCAGATTAAAATTAATTTGACTTCTGGATCTTCGATTTTTAAAAGATTAAAATATTTAAAATGATTTCAAAACCGGACCAAACTATTCAAAATTATAGATTAGTTTATTAATGCTCTTTTAATTTTAGGAAGTGCTAAGGAATAGTTATTCAGCTTTAACTTTTTAGATCGATTTCTTTTCTGACGTGAATCTTCTCTACATCATAAGATTATTGCAGATTTATTTTCAGTGTAGTTAAGTTTCAGATATTAACATAAGAATATTAAAATACTATTTAGAATTAAATGTAAATAAAATTGGACTTGGCGGAACTATTGTGCTTCTTAGAAATAAAATACGTGATATATTTTATTAAATTTAGGCAAATAATATTTCTTTGAGACACAACTGGTACACTCTATTACATTGGCGATATTTTTTAATAAATTTTACGTTAATATTATAACCTAATTCGGTTCAATATAAATAAAAAATATGGCTTTGTGAGCAAGTATTAAGACGTAATTTTGTCTGTAAGTAAGATAAATATAATTTTAATTATAAATTATTGTGACCTGTTTTTTCGGATTCTAAAACATTATTACGTTTATTAAAAGTACCTTGAATGAATTATTTTAATTAAGGCCAAATTTAATTACTTTTCTATAAAATTCCAATAAGGTGTATTATTCAGAAAGTCCCTTTCATAGAAGGCAACTGGATAAGTGGTAAGTTATGAGAAATTTAATGCTTTTATTTAGAGGATACAGTCTTACGTTGAAAGGAAAGACAAGGTAAGTAAGTACTTATAGATTGATCCAGTGACACCATTAATGTTCCGATGTATGAGACTTGTTATTTTAAACGTGGAAGTACTTGAAGTTTTTCCAGTTGCTATCGAGGTTTTGATAATTACTAAATTTTACTTTAACTTAAATGTGTATAATTAAGAAGGTGTAAGAGAATAATTAAACAAATGCTAATCTACGCATGATAAAATGTATACGAATAGTTTTCACGAAGGCATGGCTTTGTGAATTAAATGCCGAAAATAAAGTTTGAACGTTACTCTACTCAATGCAGCTCTTTTTTTAAAAACCTATGCTTTGGTATTGTTGCAAAATCTTGGATTTCTTGAATCTAAAACAACCGACGATTTTCAGTTCTGTTGAATAACAAGCTTCTTATTCAACCGTTTAAGTTATATGCTTTGATGAGTAGTAGTCGTATTTCATTGCCTATTATCCGTATATTTGCTCAGTGAAAAGGGTGGGAGAGAATGTTCTGCAAATTAACGCTTATACCCTCTCCCCACCATCATAGCCCATTGAATCGATAAAAAGTTTGGGGTACGTGGGAACGATAGGAATTTATTTTCCCTTCTCATTGTTCGTAGTACAGATTAAAAAACGATATTAACTGTTCTAAGCGTTTTCAACTTGCTGCATAGTCAACGGAGCAACATGTCTTACAATGACATTTGAAATAGTGAGCATTGATTTGAAAGCTATTTTATTTAAAATTATTCAAACAAATAATTGTTCCTTCAGCTTTTGATAGCTTTGTATTGATTTCAGCACAACGTCTGATTTGATAACTAACGGTAAAATCTGTACTTTTCAGGCAGGTTTAATATTAATATTAGTTATCTTTAGTGGTTTAAAATATCTTGATAATAAAACGCTATGTCTAAAATACGAGGCTTTTCACTTTTGTGTATATGATAAATGATGCAAAGCCATGTAATTTTTAAATTTTAAAGTAACCGTTAAAATCTTCTAATTAGTTCGTAGGACAGTATTTTGTTATTCATGGACTTAAGTTATTGGGCATAATCTCTTATTTTTGTGAAAGAGTACAGTGGTAGGCTTTCTGAATAAGTTTCATTAATTGTGATGTGAAATACATTTAGTTAAATGGCTGAGTCTTGAAAAAGCACTAAAAATGATGATGAGTACTGGAGCTCGTGGTAATTAATTCCGAAACAAACTTTCCCTAATTTCAG